ATTCATCAATTTGTACAGTAGATGCGATTTACAAAATAAAAGAAGAGGTAGAAAAAACATTTAACTCCAAATCAAACTGTCTCATGTTTAAGTTAGATATATCTGGAGCTTTCGATAACGCCTGGCCGCCAATCATTCTTCAAAATCTTAATTGTCACTGTCCCAAAAACATATTCTTGTTGACCTCCAACTTTTTTAAAAACAGAACCGTTGAAATAAGAACCAACAATTACAAAATATCAAGAAATCATACTATTAGCACACCACAAGGCTCATGTCTTTCACCAACCTCGTGGAATATACTAATAAACCCAATCTTTGATATAAAGATTCCTAAAAATGTACAATATTTTTGTATGCTGATGATGTGATACTTGTAACTATATACTAACACTTTTGGGAAAATGGGCTGAATGAAATAAACTAGAGTTTAATTCAAACAAGAGCACCTACCTATATAGTGTTCAGCAAAAAACAAAAATTACCGCAGCTTAATATTCAGCTAAATTCTAAAACACTATCACATACAGACACCATGACGTATTTAGGAGTAACATTTGACAGGAAACTTAGCTTGAAGACTCATATCGATACAGTAGCAAATAGAACACTGAAGATAATTAACAGACTAACAATTGCTGACAGGCAAACATGGGGACTGAAAGCAGAAGCTCTAAGAATTATATACAAAGGTGCAATAGTTCCTAAACTTCTTTACGCTGTACCCGCCTGGGAATCAGAGACAACTAAGCAAGTGAACCTTAAAAAATTAGAAAGGGTGCAACGATTAATTGCAATAAAAATCAGTAGAGTCTTTCACACAATATCATATGATGTTTCCTGCGTTCTTTCTGGAATATTACCGATAAAATGCAAAATTAATGAACTGATCACAATTTACAGAATTAAAAAACAAAAATTAAACTACAAAGAGATTGGACAAAGCAAGATAGAACTGGAAATACCAGCAATACAATGATTACACCCATCATCACATGCTAAACTAACACAATAAATAGAAGATACAGAAAATACTGATTTACTAACTCTCGATATCTATACAGATAAAAGTAAAGAGGAACAAAACACAGGTTGCGCACTCACTACAATTCCACTTACTACAACGAACAATATAGACTGGGCCCACACTGCTCAAATAATCAAGCCAAAAAATTAGCAGTAATTGAGGCAACAGACTACATTTTAAGACAGACAGACCAATTCAGTAAATCCTATAATATTTATACTGACAACAAAATATTAATTGACTCTATAAAATATTACAAAATCCACCACTTACTGACTGAACAAATCAGGCAAAATCTTATAAAGATTATGGATAAAACCATAAAAGTATCAGTTCAATGGATAAAAGGACACAGCAGAATTTCCGGTAACGAAAGCTGACACTCTAGCCAAATCAGCTGCTAACGACAACCACTTACCAATTGACTACATCTTAGTGCCTCTTTCCTACATTAAAAAACCCATTAGAACAGACCTAACTCAAAACTGGGACAGAAATTGGCAACTTTCAACAAAAAGGACGACCCCTCCAAAAATACATACCTCATGTCACAGTGCAAAACTGTAACAAAATAAAAAGTACCAATTACAAACTGACACAATTTCTGACAGAGCACGGACATTCTAAAAATTACTTTAAAAAATTTCATCTGACAAACACTGATTCATGTAACTGTGACGGACAAATTCCACACTCAACTACTGCAATACAAATACTCAAACAACAAATACTGCAAACAAATACTCAACTACTGCAATTGAAACGAACATGCAAGATACGACCTGATAAAAATCTGCTAACACCAAGGACAAACATGGCCAGTTTCACAGAACAAAATCTTATCGAAATATGAAATTGAGCTGTTAAACTTTATCTCCAAGATAGACCTAAAATTAAATCTAAACCTGAATCATTGAACAGATTGAAGTTATATGTTTTTGTTAAATGTTTATCTTATATATATTTATCTTGTATTTTTATTGTTCTGACCAACGTTTATTAGTTTTATTATCTCAACTTTATATATCGCTATTGTTAGTTAAATGTTATCTGTAAATATGTTTTTTTCCTTTTTGTATTTTTATTAATTTATTTATTTGTTGGCATTATTTTCCGGTATTTTATTTATATTTATTCACAATGTTGTTAATTCAGTTTTATTTTATGTTAAATATTTCTATGCATGTATCTAGTTTATTTGCTATTTTTATTTCTATGTATATGCTATATAAAAATAAAAAAATCTTATTTTCATGTTAACAAGTATCGTAGGTTTATTTCTACCTTATTTTATGTTGTTCTCTTAAAGTTTTATAAAAAAAAAAATATATATATATATATATATATATATATAAAATATATATATATATATAGATAAAATGTAAGCTTAACGTTCATGCATATAATATGTGAATTCACATGGAATACTTTTGCAAATAAACTCCTCCTGCATAGGGTTACTATGCAAGAGAAAAAAAAAATATATATATTTTATAATATAATATAATATTTAATATTTAAATTGATATGGAAATTAAAGGCCTGAAGAGAAAATTCTATTACTGTAAAAATAAAAAGATAAAAAATATAAATGAATGAAGTAACATTATAATAAATACTAAGTTCAGAGACTTTAGATGCAGTGTAAAAGTCTATTATTTTTTGAGAATTAAGCATTGGCTTATCACAATGATCAATTTCATACAAGAATTGTATGAAATACCTATCTATGAAGTGATTGAGCATCTTTAGAAAATCTAGTTGTATGGATGCTATAAAAACATGACTACGTTATCAGTAAAAAGAACTCTCTTATAGTCCTCTGAATTCTAATAGATGTGATGATTTATCTATGAAAGCAAATCTAAATTGCTTTTTTTGATAAGCTCAGATTAGTAAAGAACCAAGCTGTCAAACACATGATTATTATCCTCCTCACTGTTCAATTCATAACTGAAACAGCACATTTTTCTTAAGAGATTTGTTTAATACTGATAACGAACAGTGTGAATGTTCGTATACCTATAATCTGATTGGCTTGTAGAATCTGACTGTTCTTTATTATGGTTTTTGGAATGTAAGCTGATCTTCTTAAAATGTTAGAGAGTTTAAACACCTAAGTTACGGAGATGTGTGATGAACAATGGAAACCTAAGTCTTTCTGTATTCTTTCCCTAAGGGTGTAGCAGCTTTTACAGCTTCACTTTTATTTAAATTTCTATATAAAGAATTTGAATCAATTTTCATTTTCTCATTTGTTCATATTAAAAAAATTAACTGTTTATGTTTACACAATACCTCATTTAGGCTGATAGTGAAGGAAGCTTCTAATGCTATCATCTGCAGAGTTCATAGTGATAAAAGGAAAAATTGTAAAAAAGGCTTTTGATGTAATGTGAAATGTGAATGTAAAATGTATTTATGTTTTGATTGAAGTTTACTTACAATCTGGTTGCTAAAATAAAATATGTTGAAATGGCCTTCATGTTTTTTTTTTTTTGTTTGGTTTTGTATCTATTTTCATACATATTTTATGGATTTTTTACTCTTCAAAGATGTATTTGGGTTTTGATAATGAGGGATCGTTAAAGCTGAAATTATGTGTGCTATAAGTGGTATGGCCTCAGTGCACATACACAATCATGTCTTAACATTACCAATTCCAATATATTTTGTTAAAATTCACACTTCTGTTTCATAAGAAATGTTATGATATGAAATCAAGAATAAACGTTCTTTATAAAACAAAACTTTATTTTTCATTAATCAAAGTGATAAAAATGAATTTAAAAAAGTAAACTTAAATGTGATTTAATATTTAATATTGTGTAAGCAATAAGGTTTTTATAAAACCAACCTTAAAAAATAGAAACACTTTAAATTAATATTATATTTAATGTAATAAAGCACCATAATAGGAAAATTACTCTATATTCAATCTACAAACATAAAAAAATAAATTAAAAATAAAAGTTGTTGATATAGAGTGATAAATGATAGGAATAAATCTTAACTAACATGAATTTGAGTGCTAATCTGGTGATACACTGGTATTGTGCTTCAATTAGCAACTTTGAACAAGCTACCTTTAACATAATCAACATATTTGTAAACTTAAAAAATAAGTAAACTCTTAATCAGTCTTAACATTTACAAATAAGTTTAAATAGCTTTATTCAGTATACCATTATTAATACTATTAGACTACTAATATATAAGTTTGGTATATTTAATACAAGTATACATATAATTTGATTATACATCCATGATAAAAATACACAATAGCAAAAGATGCAAAATTTAATAAATATAAAATCAGATCTTTTATAAAAATTTAAAATAGATCTCTGTAATATTCTTTCTTTCAACTTTTTAACAAAATATTTCTATGTTAAAATAATGCTCTGGTTTAAAAATCATGTAAGGTGTGTATATATATGCTTTTTTTTTTTTATGTAGCACACATCTTATTAGGGTGCATCTTCTACTTTATAAACAATTTCCTGTTTGTGTAAATGCATTATTGAACATTTAAATGCTAAATTGCATGATTCAGTAAAATTAATGTTTAAGTGTGGATACATAACTTTTTAAATGCATGGCTAATGACTAACAGAATGTAATTTAAAATATAAAAAAGAAGCTTTTCTCCTTTCTCATAAACAAATATCATTAATGAACTAAACACTTATAGCCTGAATACCTAACAATACAAAGAAAAACAGCTACTATAATAAGTAAAATTAAAATATGAACCTGTCATACTTAAAGATAACTATTGATTTTTAGGAAATGAATTTCCAAAACAAAGATAAAGAAAAAATATATATCAACACACATTATAGGGATTTGATTTATGGTAGGTATTTAAATACATATAAGTATACCTTATGACATTTTATGTCATCAGGGTTAATATATATATATATAAACATATAATTACATATAGAGTAGAACAATAACATTAAGGAAATTATTCATTAGGAGAGGAACTAAGGAGAGCTCCGTCCTCCGGACGTGGGTGCCTTTTGTATTTTGGCTCAGTTGTAAGGTATACGACCAATACTGCAAACAAGATAAAGAAAAGCCCGATCACATTCATCAGAATTCCTTCGCCTGGGAGGTCACCATAATCTCTGTGGAAATATAATAATAAAAATAAATAACTTTAATCCGTAGGATTAGTAAATAATAAACCAAAACTAAAATTATAATTGACATTATTGCAAGATTCTAAACAAAGGCGTTAGCATTTAATACGTTGTCTTCCATTACAGCATACTATATTTCTTTACAGGGCATGAATTCCATGATTTTTTTTTTCTATCTTGATATGTTACTTATAGTACAAATATGAAGTTGAAAAGTCTTTCAAGACTGTTTAAGAAAGTCTTATTTATCTTTATAAAATTTTTGAATTGCATTTTTAACTGAGCTAAAACTAACAGATTACAGCGAGCTTTAATATATTTGCCTTTCAGATTATAAAGGTAAATATAATGAGCTTATAAACAAATCCATGAAATATTTTTATATTTCACACAAGTACAATGAAATAGTATCTTAAACAATGTCATTGCCTTGAATCCGTGGGTTTTAATACTTTTTTAAAACTTAAAAATTTTAAAAGTTTACATTTAGTAGGAGAATTTCATTTGATTTCCTTGAAAACACCTGATTTACATTAAATAATGGTAGTTTTCTGAATTATTATTTATAATTTTTTCGTCACTCTCCGTTATGTTCTACAACTTTATTTATTTTTTGTAAAATTCTCCGCTTTTTAACCATATATTATAAGTATACCTTCTGACTATTATTTCCAGAGATTCATTTTTGACCTGGATAAGCGTTTTTCTTTTTTTCTCCTTTATTCAATCATCGAATTTTTTCAAAAACTATATTTAGCCATTTTTTATATTTACTGTCAATAAAAGAGAGTTAATTTTTCAAAATAAACCATATTAAAGGTACTTAAGAGGAAGATGTATAAGAACATTGAGCATTCAAGTCCTGTAAAGTGTAATCAATGGGGATAATACCTCAATAATATTAAAAACCAATTAATTATACAATGATACACCGATTTCAATCAAAATCGTTGGAGCCATTTATGAGAACATTGTAAAAATGTGTTTCACCATTGATATAAAGTGGCACTTCTAGTTAGCCGTTTTTAAGGGAAAAGTTGCTGTCACATGTAAGGCATGTGCCTATCTTAAATACGTAATATCAGTTTCGTACGACTTTTTGTTTTTGAGCTAGACTGTTCACATTCACACAGACCATTTTGCAGTTCTTGGTTATTTGGGTGCGGGGTACCTCAAAAAGTGTATTTCCATTGAAAACTCGGATTCAAACATTTTCGATTGCAATACTTTCCCTTACTATATATTCTATATAGGTAAGTGAAAGTAATAACAGCTCTGGTAACTTGTATAATTAACATACTTCACAGATATATAGAAAGGAATACTTCAAAGAATTTTTTTTTTCTGTTGGCTTTACTACCTTAAAGAGTTAGCTTACTATTTTATATTTTGTTTTATTTTCATTTACTTGTAGACCAATTTTCTTTGTTTTCTAACAGAGTTTTAGTGAGTCGTTCAATACCTCCTTTTTCCAAGGGGATTAATTAAATCTGCATATCCTAGGAATTTATGATTCATTCTAACAGGTAATGTTTAAGAGGAATCATTAAATAAGTGTTTTTGCTTTTTAAATTTAAAGATATTAAAATTAAAAGAGATTGAGCATTTATTTCTATCCACTGTATAACAACAATGGATCAGTTTAAACTATACTAAACTAATTATAACATCTTTCAAAATTAATATACTACAGTATTAATGTCAGAGATACATATTCCTTCATATAATACTATGGCTCTTAAACTCCTAGAGTACATAAAATAAAAGATAGTGTGGGAAACAAGATAAAATAAAATTTATAGTTATAAAATAGTTAATTTATTAATTGCATACTTAAGTTTGAAGATTGCTTTTTCCAAAAGACCAGAAACTGAAGTAGCTATGGCCAGGATAAAGGCAAACAGACCGAGGAAAACATGCCATGGCATAATTGCAGCTCTGATAGACAAGGGAATTCCAGGATAGAGAAAGACCACAAGGCTCAAAGCCCACTAGAAATCATGAATATAAAAAATATAACATAAATAGTCTGAACATAAATATATATGTTTTGAATACATACATTTGATTTATACAATGTTTGATTATAGTTAAATATAGTAATTAGCAACTGATGATTACCTGTACAAAGTAAATGATAACAGTTGTCAAGCCAATCCATGAATGAAGAGTATAAAGATTTGGAATATTCATTTGATTATGGAAATCAAAAACAGCAATCTGGGCAACAATGATGCATAAAATGACGACTGAGTGGATACCAGCATGGATCAACTTCAATTTTTGCTTCCTTATAGTGCGAAGAGCTCTGTAGATCATAATAGCTGGAAATTAACAAAATAAGATTTTGATTTGATGGATAATAATAAGGTTATATTTAATGGAAGTTTGTAATTTCATTAGTTGTCTTAAAAAATAGAATTATACCAATTCAAAGAATTTTGAACGAGAAATGAAAAGTTAATGCTACAACGATAGTTTTTGAAATGAAGTTCCTTTTTCTTTTCCTATCAATCAACCTATCAATCATCATATAAACTTATCAAAGATGAAACCGATAGTTTTTGAAATGAAGTTCCTTTTTCTTTTCCTATCAATCAACCTATCAATCATCATATAAACTTATCAAAGATGAAACCTTTTTTGTTCCACTTATATTGGGTTGAAACCTATAATGACAAATCCATACATATAATGACATTATTTATATATAAAAAAATATTGTATTATTGTTATGTAAATAAAGTCTATTTGCCTCAATAAATTTCTTCCCAATGCTTTTATTCCTTGTTTAAACACTCTTTTTAAAAATCCATTAAGCCCTCTAAAAAACTGGTAATCAGTTAGAGGCAAGTCAGGTAAATACAGTAGAACTTATTAACTTAAACAGAATTTTCGGATCACCATCTTTTTATTGATGTAATTAATAATTTATAATTTTTTATTATTTAATTAGAAATAACCTTTTCCATAGAAACTCAATAGAATTTTTATGGAAAACGTATGGAAAACTAAACTTTTTTTTTTAGCTTGACGTAACAAAATTATATAATGCACAGAATTGTCATAATTTGCCATATAATAATTATCTTCAGTTTTTATTTATAATTCTTTAGGTTTATTAAATTATATATGTACATATATATATATATATATATATATATATATATACTGAAAGTAGTGGAATAGATGACATTGTTTGATGTATAGCACTAATTTTTTTTTTCTTGTATATTGAAAATCCTTTGACATTGTAAAAAAACATAACATGAAACATTATAAAAATTTTCTGAAAATAAAAGTTCTGTAAAACGTTTACTAGAAAAATTGCAAGGGAAAAAGTTTTAGTACTAAAAAAAAAAAATAGAAAATAGAGATTTTATTCATCTCGAAACTGATCAAAAAAATATAAGTTGAAATTTCATTTTGAGTGTTGGTATAGATCAATAATTTATTTTTATAAACTTTTAGGTAAATATTACTAAATAATCAATTAGCAATGATAGGTACAAAAAAAAAAAAAAAAAAAGATAACAGTCTTTTACTGTATAAAAACTCAGGAATTGAAATATCTTAAAAAAAAATGCCAATAGTTAAATCTAAACTATTAAGGTTAGAAGAATTTTGTTCAGGGTTAAAAAGAAAAAGATCAAACAAAAAGACAAGGGTGTATGCCAAAGCAGGGAAACTGAAAATGTGTGTTTTAAGTTTTACACTTAACAAAAACCCAACAGACAAAAATCTGTTGTATAACATGCAAATACAAAGTTATTTACAATACAAAAATTTATTTATTTATTTATAACGAAGTATTGAATCTGCATTTCTAGCTAAATTATGAAACCTAGCTTAAAATAAATGTTACAGATGGAATTACTATTAAAAATAATTTACATATGGCAACATTCAAATAAATAACTGTTATAGACAATTTACGCTATGTGGATTAATATTTTTTGCTTTTCTAAAAATTGACCTTTTTAGACTTTCTCTAGTTGTTCAATACATCCGATGAAACTCATTTACACTTTATTTTTGAAAATTTGATTGGTGGATATCAGCAGATATATATTTTCCCAACAATAAGGAAAATTGCCATCCATTCATTAAATTATAAGTTTTGTACACAAAAAAATATCTTGTAATTCTTATTTACAAAATATAAAAAATTAGCATACCGGCAGTTTGGTACAAGGCTATTGAAGGATTATATTTTCTATTATATTATATCTTTAACCTTTTTATTCTTCAATTTTTGACATGAATAAGCTTAAAGTAAAAATACTTAAGATTTTAATTTGCAAAACGGTAATTGACTCTTCTGTAAAGTAATCATTTTTCAAGTTATCAGTGTGACAACTGTATGTTGAATTAAATTTACAAAATGTTATGATCTTTATTCTAATTTAAATAAATTGTATTTGAAATACAAAAATGTAAAGGGTTTTTTAAAAAATACATTGAATCTTGAGAACACTTAATTTTATTTCTTTTTGGTTAAGTAAACAATTAGTGACAAAATCGATTTGATATTGAAAAAGCACTAGGCAAGTATAGAGATCAGTAAATAATTGATTACTTACAATTAGCAAATAGGTATATCATGCCAACAGTCATCAAGAGAGGATGCCAGTTGAATTGTCTTCGAGGATCTGAACGCCATGCAAATCCTCCAGCATAATGAGACGTCCAAATAAGCATGAGGACAACGCATAATAAGCCAACTCCATTTGTAATCCCAAATAAGATATTGAATGATTTCAAATCTTCTTCCATTGCCTTTTTGATTTTAGTTTCCTTTTCTGAAAACAGAAAAAAAAAATAAAATAAATACTACTGAAAACCATTTTTAATTCTAATATTAGTGATAGATTTAGAAAAATAATATATTTTAATTTATTGCAATATTTATAAAACATATTATTCTATAATATGAAATATATATATATATAGTCTAAATAAAGAAGCATTACCATTCCTCATGATATAAAATTATAGGCAAAAGTTAAAATATTTTAACTTGATGTATTGGGAAAAGATATAATAAAAACAAACAAACCTAATGATAGAAACGAAAGAAAGTTAAAAATATTTAGAATAAATATAATGTTCTATAATCTCATGCAACTTTTTGTATCTTGTAACTTTTTGTATTTTGTATGTAAATGCTTTTTTCTTGGTTTTTGAAATATTATTTTAAGAAAATTACTTAGGATTGTTAGTAATTTGCTATAGATAGTGCAACAACTGACTGTCGAAATTAAGATTTATTTATTGGAATTTAAATAGCTGAAGAAAATGTTATGAAACAGAAAATACAAACAAATCTTAATCTACAAGGGAATTAATTGTCATTATATAAAAGAATTGAAGGGCATACTTTAATTACACCATTAACACAATAAGTTGGTATCCATTAGGAATTATATGCAGGATTATATCTAAATGTTCCCTGCATATCCACAGGATAGCAGAGACAACTCAGGAATTTTGTTTAAGAAGGATTATATTACTTTAATATAAAATAATTCATCTATTATTCATATGATATGTTCATAGCCCATAAAGATTTCAAAATGACCTTATTACTTACAAACTAACTGGTTTAAAACGGAAAGAGAGCCTGTTTAGAAGTCTAATTGTGATAGGTCAACCATTAAGACTGCTGAAAAGGTTACAAGTTATATTATTTCATTATTTTTCTTAAGTCATTTATCTATATTAATGACTAATGTTGATGATAATGATGACTATCACCAGAACAATGTTGACAGAGAGCTGATCTCAGAATATTGGCTCTACACAAAATATAGAGGATAGGATATATAGGACTCTACTCTGCCTCATGTATCTAGCCTGGGGTTAGATTAACAAAAATATTAATATTTTGAGCAGCACTAGAATCAGATGGAATGATTGGTGACAGAGTGGTGATTGCTGATCAGAAATAAAGTTTGACATTTTAGCATTTCAAACTTGAAATCAAACAAGGGCACTAGTAGATCCAGGATTTATGTTTTTTGGGGAGAGGGAGGGGCTTCAGCCTGAAAGCCTTTTTTTTTTCATATATATAACGATTATTACTTTGAAAAAAAAAAAGAAAGAAACTAACTACCTATATGACATGGTGTTTAAATGATTCTCGAAGCCCTATTAAATATAATTACACGAACAATAATACTTTAAGAGATGGTTTTTAATATTTTTTCCTATAAAACATGGTTATATTTTACTATTTTGGAGGGGGGGAAAGAGGCGGATTCAGCCCGAAAGCTCCCTCCCCTGTATATCCGCCTGTGAACAAGGGTACCATAACTGTCAAAATGTAATAAAGGAATGTGCAGAGATGTAGAGAGGTTTCTTCAATTTAATTTATTCAATTCAATGTAAATTGCCAATTATTGCTAATTTACAAATCATTTTTGTGCTTTCTGATTTTGGAATTTTTTACAATGCAGTTGTTATTATCAATATACACATATTTTTCAATGTGTAACTTTTATTATCAAATATTATTTTATTTTTTTTGTATTTAGTAGTTATATATTTAGCATAATTTATTTTTATCAAGTTATATTACATTCTGTCACAACTAAGGACATTAGTAACAGTGATTAAAGAGTTCATTTACACCATACAATCAACCAATAGCATATTTTCGCTTATAATAAGCTACTACCCAATTCAAGAGTGGGTTGGCGGGGGTGCCACGTAAAATCTCCCTCTTGGCGCCTATAACCCAAGCGACCGCCATGCAGTTGAGCCAGTTTCCCGACCTTCGAGATTTCGGAATGAAGTAAACTATCAGTTCAACGAGTCTCACAATTTCTGTGTGATTATGATCGTTCGGCCTTGAATAAGAACCGTTGATAATCCTGCACAATATTAATTAAAAGGATAAATGAAAACGATACCTTAATGTTGGTGTTTATAACAGATTTAGAAAAAGTTAAGCAGTCTTCCAACTAACAAGCCATATTTGATAGAACTACATCGCTTTTTTTCCCCCATTGGTCCATATTCATTATTGTGAGTGATCTTAGTTAAATACGTAAACAATCACAATATGCTCTATTTTTTAAATTATAATGCATATACAGTTACTAATTTTAACAATTTATATTTTATTTTTTCACCATTTCATATAGGTAGTTATTTTTTTTCTATTTCCTCTAAAGTAATTATAGTTTTATATATATAAAACTTCCGGACAGAAGTCCCCCCAAATTCCTTGATCTGCGTGTGTTACACCATTCTTCCTTCCAATCTTTTGATTGATCTGTGAACAAACAAAGTTCTTTTCATGAGGTGATTGGAAGCCTGAGGGCAGTCTTATTCTATATATTGATTATTTTTGCAAGTCGCAATATGTTGATGTCACCAAATCCATAAGAATCAAAAGGGCTCGAAAATTTACCTTATGAATTTACACTACTTAGATTGTGAACAATTCGTGAAGTTGTTTTGTAAATTTTTGAGTCGGTGGATAGCTTGTTGAAGAATTGAAATCACTGAGAGGGCCCGCATGCTTAAGTGGTTGCTATAACTTGAATTTCTTCCTTGTTAGCCCTAATGATATTAATGTCAATCGTAGTATTGAACAGGATTCTCCATGACTTTCCCAAGATCTCTTCTTAAAAAAGGTGTAAGGAAAACTATAGTTCAGACACAATTACTTTTGCTGTGATGAGTTCCGCCTGCTTTCCAATGTTTCCTCGTTTGAAAATTCCTCTGAAATGTCTGTGGATTGTTCATAACCTTATCTTCTCCCAATCGATTCAAAACTACCTAAAAATGTCCCCATCTTAAAAATGTTGATTGTGCCGCTTGCGTCATGCCCCCTGGTCTTGTTCTCATTGTATTAACTTTCAAAATCGTGTAATATAAACATTGTCGTTTGATTGAGAATGTGGTCAACTTCAGTCCTTAACAACTGTTGGTCAACGTGATTTGATAAACCAGATATTTTCTGTCATAATGGTGTAACACACGCAGATCAAGGAATTTGGGGAACTTCTGTCCGGAAGATTTATATATATATATATATATATATATATATATATATATATAACTATAATTACTTTAGATGAAATCGCTCTTGATTTATTCTTCAAGGAAAAATAATATCAGAATATTTAAAAGATAGAATCCACAGCGAAGGAGTTATATATATATATATATCAGGGTTCAAATCCGGTTATTCTCAATAGTCTCAATAGTTATTCTCAATTCCTTGCCGGCCCATGGAATAAATCCAACCTTCTTAACATGGTTAGCATAAGATGGCAACCTAAAGCATAAATTGCCTTTCCATCAGAAGTTCCACCCTAAGGGTGTTAAAGCTAATTAACTGCAGCAGATTTAAATGATAAAACAATTCAATAATAGGTAACTTTGTGTTCTCACCATATTTTATCAATAGCAATATTTTAATTCAATTCTTATGAGTGTGTGTTTATTTGGTTGTTATAATTTTAACAAATAATCCAAATAGAATATGGAAGATGAAATATTTCAGGTTATCAAGCTTTTCTAGCATGGATGGTTTCGCCACGAAAAATAAAACGAATCGAAAGGAAGCTGCAACACACCTAGACCACCAATACCTCAGTGTTATTGTAAAATTTATATAATTGTTGGCAATGCGTTTTCTACATGATGTGTTGCTTTTCTTTATTGAGTTAAATAAAGATAAAATATTGATAATCCACAGGGGTGTCCATCCCTCTAGGTCGATGGTGCATGAACTCCTCACCTTTCCAAGAAATTTTATGTCTTCCCTCTTCTTCAAAACAGACAAAGTGAAAGTAGAATTAGAAAAATCATAGATCATATACAAATACATTTGCGATGTTTTAGTCAATTTTTTTCCCCTTATTCTCAAGATTGAAACTTTTCACTCCAAAAATCATAACCCCATCGAAATGTGACCCCCCTCAAAAATTAAAAATGTGATCTTAAAAATTTTAATGACGCAACTTGCGCCATCAAAGCCCCTTCTGGCCATTCCTGATTATGCATGCTGAAGTTCAGTTTCTTTCCATATTTTCGGAATGTTTTTTTTATTTATTTTTTTATTTTATTCAAATGTTAAAATTAGAAATGCTCTTTGATTCAGACGTTACATAATTAGAAAATTATATTTAACTAAATTCCAGTGATAAATAATACATAATATAAAATAAACACAATGCTCAGCTTGAAAATTAAAATAAATTATTAGGGTTTATGCCATCCAAATATATATAGACTGATGATAATAACAGCATTGTACAAACAATACGAAAATCAGGCACTAAATAAATAATTTATAAAATGTCAACAACTGACAACCATCGTTTACATTGAACAAATCACTTCCTTCCGTTTCTGCGCTTTCCTTCAATTTCCATTAGTGAACAATCAAAAAAGAATTCTAACCTTTCTATTTAACTAGACGTTAAATTTTTTAGTGTTTCCATTGTTAACCACAGGTTCCCAAGTCAATAATACAAGTAATTAATATATATGTACTACATTTTAAAATAAAACCCAAGACCTGTCCTCAATCCCAAACACGACGGTTGAAAACTATATAAAATAAGTTGGGCAAGCATCTTTAATGAATTTGTTCGCAAATAAACTGAAGTTTTACAAAGTTTAAACGGCTTAAGTAGTTTAAAAGTATTTAAATAGTTTTGAAGAAAACAATTCAGTATAGCTGGATATGTGAAATATTGGGAAATTCTTTGCATGTTTATTTTATTTTATATTTTATTTCCTATTGTTCATATCAATTTAGAAGATGAAATGTCAAGTAGCAAC